CAATGTATTTAAATGGGATCATTTGTAGAAACATTACTGTGGGGAAAAAAAACATTTATTTTTCGAGAGGCTGCCCCACATTATTATTTCCATTTTTTAACATTAGTTGGTCTCCCTCTTCGTTTCTAATTTAATCCTCCATTGCCTGAGCTGCTGGAAGGCTATTACCTCTTCTATGCATGATTGGAATCAACTTGTAATAACCACTACACGTAAGGGGGCATCTGTGATGTTGTGAATGGCTTGTGCTTACTGAACGTGTAACGCTGACTTTAAATGAAAAATGATGGTATCTGTCCTTGAAAATAAAACACCACTTGAGGATGAGCAACAATCTGTGATCTGCCATCCTGGCTGCCTGACTGTTCTCAGTGACCGTTCATTATGGTGAACTACAGGTGTCAGCTGGCAGATACAACCAGTACCACTGGCCCCCATGAGTTACGCAGGGGGCTGCTGGCTTACACTGGGTTGGTTCAGCCCTGGAAAATACCTACTGTACACTGCAACCTTAAGAGATGCTTTCTCCTTTAAATGGAAATAGAACCCCTAAATTATCGATTCTCCAGACGCTGAGCCCCCGCAAAATAGCTGAATTACTTTATTCTAATTCATTAGCATTAAATATTAACTGCTTCTTCAAATCTTATTAGGAGATGTCTTGTGGGGATTGCTCTAAAGAACTATTTGAATTTGGTGTTAAATCGTGACTCATTAGCAGATATTCTACAAAACATACTGACTTCTTGAAGTGGACAATATTATTTTTATTAATATTCTCAGGATTACTTCAAGACCTTGGGCCTAGTTGCAGGCCTTGACATTAGGCGTAGAAGAAGTCTGAATAACAAGGTAAAACTAGAATATGCCACATTATATCCTGTCTTTCACTTGTCTGTGCATCATTTCTTTCATTTATCATTCAACACAGCTTGTGTTATATTGTGTATGTGCGATACATGATTTCAAGGCTCTGACTTACAGTGATCAGGCTATCTGATTTGGAGCTGTATACGTCCGACCAGATTCATCAAACGATGGCGATATTTACTGCTGTAGATGGAAACATACCGTAGCTTTGAGGAAACCCCCAGATCCCTGCTTTCAGTTAATGGTACAAGCTGCAGGGGTAGACACCAGTCTGATTTTTTCCTTTAACAAAAATAGCACAATCATCTCTGTCAGAGTAGGACCTTCAGAAATTTTGCCTACTCCGGACAAATATGTTCTTATTCTGCAAAGAGAGATGAAGTTGTGGGACGTCAAAGTTAAGTCAGAATCTTGTTTTCTACGTCTGTGTCTTCTTATAGTTCAAATGTTATACAGACAGCTATAGAAGGGAAGT